CCAGAAGGAAGGAGGGAGAAAGGATAGTGATCCCTTTTACCAGCTACAGCAAAACTTTCCCTAAAACCCCAGCCTAAGTGTGCTTACAGACTATTGGCTTGGCTGAAGCACCGTTACATGACTAGTCCAGTGGGAAAAAGTTGTTGGCTTTTCCAACCCATGTTATGAAAGTGACAAAGGGAAAAGGAATTGAAAAATATGATGGTAAGTCAAAAAGTATTGCTACTAGAGTTCTAAGTTATATACATGCACAAGTTTACACCAAACAAAACATATTTTAGACAGGTTTCTCTGATCAGTGAATGGCTACAGACAAATGTACCCAAGTGGGTAATCTTGATGGATATTCTCAAAGGACACACAGGACAATCATAGGAGCTTATTAGGAAGAAGTTTTAAGAAAACTGAAAAAGGCCTGGATAATTGTGCCCAGGGATTATTTTCTCTCACAACAATCATACCCAGTAAGAAAGTCATTGGAAACCTTACAGTATCCACCCTAGAGGCTTCCTAAGGCCCCTTCAGACTTCTCAATGAACGTTTTCAGTCCCAAACTGCCGTTTTGACGTGGTGTAAATTAAAGAGTGCACAATTTCTTGCTGACTCTAGAGACCTTCTGCTCAAAGGACATTGTGCATGGTGAAGTGGAGTCAATAAAAAAAAGACCCCCAATGAGATGGATTGGCACAGTAACTGCAATCATAACCCCAAACATAACTATTGTCTTAGGATGTTGATGCTGCCAAGTCCGTTCTGACTCCCAGCCACTCTGTGCACACCACACCAAAACACGGGCCAGTCTTGCACTGAATCCTTCAGTAGTTCAAGTTGGGGCTTGAATTTTTTTCTTAAGCTCTTTGACTTCATCACTCCCCCTCAGCAAGTTTCACATTTGCATTTATTACTTTTTTTTCAGTGAACACTTCCCTGATTATGTAGCAATACTTTTTAAACTGACTTTTATCAGTGTGATATAGCAGGACCGAGACCTCTCTAGCCCATGTCTTCTTATTGCAAGATCAGAACTAAATCCACCAGACCCTCGCCAATCAAATGTGAGATCAGTTCTCTCTCCAGTCATAGTATGTTACCTCATGCACTGCAGCCAAAAGCCTCCCCTCACACCAACAGCCGAGGCACAATGGACTCTCTTACTAAAAAGCTCTTTCATGATCAATGAAAGCCTGTCACTACCTAGATGCTTTTCCTGACTTCATTTTCCCCTTTGGTCAGTCAAAAGGAAGGAAGGGAGGGGAGGGGAAGAGTAGCCTATAAGTGTCATGAAGTGGTGCTGACCATCTGCTTCTGTCCTTGCCCCCTCAGCACTGTTTCTTGTTGACAATCACCATGAGGTGTACCTCTGGCAAGGCTGGTGGCCCATTGAGAACAAGATCACTGGGTCTGCCCGCATTCGCTGGGCCTCAGACCGCAAGAGTGCCATGGAGACGGTGCTCCGGTACTGCAAAGGTAAGGCCCCTGGGAGTGAGCTGAAAATCCAAACTTATATCCATGTGGCAGCAGGAAATGCACTAGGGACAAGTGGAGAGCCAGGACGCTGTCAGGCCCACCCTAGGCACACGAGCAGAGGCTAAATCACCAGAATGGTTTCCTACAGACTTGGTTAGAATCCCAGACTATTCCTTCCTGAGTGCATCATGAGCCAGCATTAATATTGCCAGGCAGACAGCAAGGAAACACATTTTTTCCCTTTAACTTGTTAATTTTGAGATTAGCGAATCCTTGGCTCCCAGCATGAATGAGAATGAATTTTTCTTTTTAATATGATGACACCATCTGACTTGCTACCCTGCACGCTGAAAGGCTGTCTCGTGGCATACCCTGAGCTGATTAAAACCCTTTTGCCCTCAGCATGAGTCATGCGCAGGGCTATCCTGGTAGACTGGGGTACCCCAAAACTGGTTGAAAACCCACTGTAAACCTTATTTTTTTTTAGTATGCTAACGTGAACTTACAAAATGCTATCCCTACACGCTGCCCAATTTATGCTGAACTCATCCTTCAGTTAGGGAAGACAATCATACCAAGAGGCTCTCTACCCCTTCCGGAGTCCCAGAAACATGTTGTTAGGTTAAACAGTCTAGTCACATTGAGTATGTGCGTCTGTCCCTGGCTGATGTGCCTGCTAACCAACAGATTGCAGGGGCGAGTCCACCCAGAGTTGCCTTGGAAGAAGGGCCTGGTAAATTACTTCTGAAAACCTCAGCCAGTGAAAACCCTAGTGGCGCAACAATTAAACACTTGGCAGTTCAAACTCACCACCACTTCACAGGGAAGAGATCTGTGCCCATAAAGCTGCCATCGAATTGGTGCCAACTCCTAGCGGCCCAGCAGGAGAGAGCAGAACTGCTCCTTCCAGTTTGGAGACTGAAATCTTATGGGAGTAGTCAGCCTTGCCGTTAGCACCCCAGTGCTCCCCATGAGATGGAATACACTCAAGGGCCACAGCGGATCTGACTTGTCGGGAGATGGTTTTCTGTTAGAGTTATTGAGTTGGAACGGACTTGATGGTACTTATTTCCACACTATATAGGGTTTCCTAGAAGCAGCTTCTTGTTATGTGCCGTGGAGTCAGTTCTGACCCATAGCGACCCTGAACAGGGTTTCCGAGGCTGTAAATCTTTACGGGAGCAAAAAGCCTCATCTTTCTCCCGCCGAGCAGCTGGTAGTACTAGTGGGTTTGAACTGCAGACCTTGCAGTTAGCAGTCCAGTGCTTATCCTCACAACAGCACACTAGACTCGTATTATAGTACTATTAGAGTAAGATGTATAAAATTAAAATACATAAAAAGTACCAGGTTTTGTTAAAACTATGCATACATTAAGCTTCTAGTCAAGAGTTGTAAACAATGACAAAAAGATTTCAAGGAAAATCAGAGACAGGGTACCCGGGCAGGGTCAGGTCTACTCACCATGGCATTCTATATAACCACAGGAAAAAACATCAAGAAACCGCCCCCCAAGTCGTACCTTATCCACGCTGGTCTGGAGCCCCTGACGTTCACCAATATGTTTCCCAGCTGGGAGCACCGAGAGGACATTGCTGAAATCACAGAAATGGTGAGCGTGTTCTCCGGGCCTCTCAGGCTTGCATGCTGGGCTCAACTGTGTGTTCACTGTGGGGAAAAGCATCCAATTTCACTTTCAAAATGAGATTTTTTTCTTTTACAACATGCTAACAGAAGCCTTACCTAGAATTATCTAAGAAAGAAAGCATAAAGGGAAAATCAGGTGAACCATCTTGTTAAATTTCTCTATCAGGTACACAAAGGTGAGTCTAATGATTTTGAAGAAGCTGCATACATAGAAGCAGGTATATCCGTATCCGTATTCTATGATCTAAAAACCTGGTACTGGACATTACTTCTCAAAGTCCATGTAAGGCACAAGAAAACCCTCATCTTTCTGACATTAACTTTGGGTGGTGGTGGTGTTTAGTTGAGTCGGTTCCAATTCATAGCAACTGTGTATAGGCTTTCCAAGGCTGTAGATCTCCGCAGGAGCAGAAAACTTCATCTTTCTCGTGCGGAGCACCTGGTGGTGGTGAAACGCTGGCCTGTGGTTCCCAGTCCAGTGCTTATCAAACAGAGCCACTGCCTTCCTCAGTCTTATATGTTGTCTTATATGTTGTTAAGTGTCTTTGAGTCAAGTTATAACTTTTGAGGCCTCTGTGTAGGGTTTTTGGGGCTTTAAATCTTCCTGGGAACAAAAAGCCTCATGTTTCTCCCACAGAGGGGATGGCAGGCTCAGACCTTGTGGTTTGTAGTCCAGTACTTATCATATGAAGCGCCACAGTGTTCCCGTAACCTTGTATTGTTAGTTCTAATGCATAGTGAAG